TGTTTTTTTTTTTTTTTTTTTTGCATCTCCTGATGGCAGGCAGGAAGACAAATGATTCTGAACTGAATGGTGGTGGCAGCCATTTTCCAAATTTAATTTGTGAATGCAATAAATTTTATGTTGCTGTCATTACCAAAATAAGTAACCCACTTTGAAAGAATGTATTAACTGTCATATTATGACTCAGTCTTGCAGTCTAGTGCTGAATGTTTTCTTCACACTTACTTTTAGATCAACCTCTTTATTGGTGTTGAATAGTGTTTCCCTTAATATCTACATTTTCACTTATGTGGTACCATTCATTTACAATCCCACATGAATTTGCTGATCTTCTATGATGTACTTAACACTTTGCGGACCGCACACCCTTTAAAAGGTTTTTCGCTTTTAAACATGGCGGACCGTTCGCGTGTTAACAGGCTTTTAGAACACGATAAGTTGCAACACACTATACATCGCTCTGGCGCCACCTACATTGCACGCAACCACCTGCAGATGCGTGATAAGACTCTGGAATGTTTAGTTAGCAGTCAGTAACTTGACCTCGCTGTTTACTTAACCGACTATAAAGGAAAATGCTTTGCCTTCTTCAAGCTGTGTGTATCAGCCAGTAGCTAGTGGGGAGAATGGATCAAGGACAAATTCTCCTCCGATGACCTAGCTGACCTGCCTTGTGAGACGCGTAGTAATGGATTGTCATTCAGACAGCAACAGGCAGTAAAAGTGACAGTAGCTCCGACGATAATGCGGGTAATAACATTGCGGGGACAGCAAAAAATCTAAACCCTTGTTCAAAATTGAAATACAAAGCATTTCTGATGAATTTGGCAAAGGCCTGGGCTACAGTCCAGATGATGGCAGCAGAACCAGGGTCACACAAAGACTTAGTACGACCGTGCCAATCAACTCCCACCCCACGAAGGCCTCATGTGGATCCCCCAGGGCAACTCTCGAGTGATATGCGGAAAAATACCCTCGTGAAAATTGTGAAGAGTGAACATTCCAAGGGGAAGAATACTTCTAGGCAATGCCGTGTTTGCACAGTTCACAAAGGGGAAAGTTTCCAGAAACATCACACCCTCAAGCACTTCTAGGAGCATTGGTAAGTGTTCTCCAAAAATTTTAGTTCAAAAAATTAATTAGGAGATTTTATATTAATTTTTAAAGTGAACAGTGCACAAGTTAGGGTATATGTTTAAAAATACCGGTCCCCAGGGTGATTTAAATATTTAAATCACCGGTCCGCGAAGTGTTAAGCCAATCTAAAGACAACTGATATAGGACTGCCTTGTTTCAAAACAGGAAACTTGCCTGTACAGATGTTACTGTAGTTTTCAATTAACTCATCACAATTAGCCTGTTTCTGTACTACTTGCCAGGCCAACCTGTGCACATGGAAAAGTTGTGAATTACTATTCTCCCTCTCCTTAAATCATAAGATTCTTAACTGTAAGGTCAATGATATATGGCTGAACATTGACTTGACTGCTTCTTGTACCAATCATTCCCCTCAACCTGTGTTGTATAATATTGTAATTACTTGCTACACGAATCAGACTTACCTGAAGTCAATGTATGACCAATGTACTGTTCTGTCATATTCCACTTTCCTCTCCAGTATCTAACAGATGCAGAATAATCAGTAGTTGATCTATTCTTCTGAAATCCACAACAGTGATCCAAATAATTTCATACTTATGGAGTTAATCATGAAAGAATGTTGGATAAAATTTTATGTAGCTGATTCCAGTCACATTTCTTAATAAATATGGCCAGATTTAGCAGCATTTTTATATATAAGTGAATAATTGAGTACTCTCACTCCTGTGAAAATTCTAAAATATAATCAACACCATGTGACCTATGCCTCTTAAACTTTCAATGGCAATCTCAAACTAAAAATAACTAATCCTAGTAGTAATGGTTTAGCTGTATTTTTTCATTCTGCCTAACAACTTTGATACCAAATAAATTCAATAACTGAGATAGGTGCTTATGCTGCCTATCCTAAGTCTCTAATACTTCTATCCTTACCACTGATTTACATCTCAATAATTATTTAAGATATTCCCATCTATGTCTACTAGCTTCATGGCTGACACTGTTCAAATTATCATCATTCATCTTATTTAAATTCTACAACCACCGCTGATCAGAATGCTTCCTTTGAACTAACAATTAAGACAGAAGTAGACAGAAATAGGCAAGCATCAAGTACCATAATTCCCAACATCCACTGGATTTCTTCCTCCTGACCCACTATATTAGCTGTAATAGGCATCGCTTACTTACATGGCTGTAAGTGACTGGAAATTTGACAACCTATGATAAGGACCACTGCTACTGCATTCCTACATTACAATGTGAACACAAAACAGTGTGGCATATAGACCCGTTGTTAGGCAAAGATCTCGAAACAAATGAGACAACAGCCATTGCTATGCAACAGCATGGTAAACATGCCTCTACAACAATAATGTTACTGCTAAAAATGGCGTTATGCAATCTGTTGCTAGGCAGCTGCAACAGCTATACTACAACAATGGAAATGGTATTCTACATGTGGTAAATGCAAAGTGGTTATAAGGAAGACAATTGGGGTAACCCAGTCAGTTGTCAGTTAAGAGTTCAGCTCTGCACAGGAGGCTGTGAAGACAGGCCCCGAGCACGGGAAGATGCTAAATCTCTACAGTTAGAAACCGTTGCTAGGGAACAACTGTTGGAGATCAGCATTACTGCTGTCATTACTTGCGGTGTGTATAAGTTGTCAATAAATCCATTCACCAATCCATACCCCATCTATAGTCACACATTCTAAAATTGTGACAATAAGCCAAAACAAACAAAGCATGCATAACACAATGGTAACATGTTTGAATACACTGCAGAAAGGGAATGTACATAAAATAATCATAATTATACTTCACTAATGAAAATTTAAAAACGCCTTGTTATTGCCAAAGCAACATTTAAGATGGGGAGGGGGGGGCTGGCAAGTTCACTCCACTTAAAATATCTGAAAGCCTAACTCCATAAAGCAGAGTCCTTGAGAAACTAACAACTCAGCCAAGAAATTACTCACCTTTTACAGTAGCTGAATATTTATTACAGTATTGTAAAGAGCCCATTAGTGAACTCTGTCCTGAACTGGAAGAATCCAGTCCACATCCTAATACTGATTTAGGTAAATTTTAATGTTAGTTATCTTTATGCACATTAGTAAACATCCCTAATATTTTGATCATAAGGTTACCTATGAGTCAAATGGCCTTTCAGACTAATGTCCGGAAGACTGTATCAATCAATATGGAATGTATCTATTACAGAAGATTAAAGACATTTCTTCAGCCTGGGTAAGCAGTATAGTATGATTAAAGCAAGTAGGATGAGATGGGTAATATACAAACACACGTGGAGAACATAAGATGTGCAAACAAATTTTTGTCAAAAAACTTAACATGAAGAAATCACTCCCAAGCATATATGGAAGGGCAATATTATAATGGACCAAGTTTGATTTGTTTCATCCTGGTCCATCACACTAACACTTATAAAATGTTAATTAATCCCGTCCAGTGTGAATGATGGAGTCTTGCAGAATAAAATATTAAAAATGAGAACAATAACTCCATCAGCCACACTGGACAGAATTAATTAACTTTTTATAAAATGGACCTTAAGGTTCATAATTACTGGATTTTTGGACTTTGTCCATCAACTGGTATTCTAGGAACTAGAAAACACGACATTTCGGAAACTGGATCTGTTTCTGTCCTCAGGTGAGTGGAGAAGACACCTACTCAGTTGGGTCCCTTAGAAACAGCTAACCTCAATCACTGGACAACCCCTGCAGATTCACACAGCTATTGTCCAGTGACTGAGGTTAGCTCTTTCTAAGGGACCCAACTGAGTGTCTCCCCCTCCACCCCTGGGGACAGAAACAGATGCAGTTTCCAACACATCATGTTTTCTAGTTTATAGAATACCAGACGATGGAAAAAGCCCCAAAATCCAGTAATTCTGAGCGTTATATACTATTATCAGAACCCTGTATTCATTCTGCTCGGTTTAAGATTGTGGTTTTCTGAGTTGTGACACTGTGTAGCCTTCGTAAGTCAATTCCAGCATTTTGGAGGAATATACCTTCATCTTCAGGGGCAGTAACTTTATCCAGTCCATACCACCCCNTTGAGAAGCTGCCGGTTGTGCAGCTACTCAAGAGCTTCCAAGCATTTTATAGAACCTAAAGGTTCATTACCACGTTCAAAAGAGCCCTCCACTGGGCCCTATCCTGAGCCAGATTAATCCAGTCCATACCACCCCAACCTATCTAAGATACATTTTAACATTATCCACCCACCTATCTTGGTCTCCCTAGTGGTCTCTTTCCTTCTGGTTTTCCCACCAATATCCTATATGCATTCCTCTTCACCCCATTCATGCTACATCCCTGTCCATCTCATCCTCCTTGACTTGATCATAATAATTATACTTTTCAAAGAATGAAGGTCCTCATTATGCAGTCTTCAGGGGCACTTCAACCCTGAAAATGGACTACACAGAAGTCTCAACACAGACCATACAAAGGCTGAACACTAATCATGCTGAAAACCTAAAAACTTACAAGGGACAATCTTCCAAATATAAATCACTCCGTCAAATGTGACCTGTTACAGGTCACATTGGACGGAGTGATTTATATTTGTAATTGTTAGTGTGACGGACCAGAATGAAACAAATCAAACTCAGGGACAATCTTCTTCGTAAATCTCAGCCAATGAAAATTGAATGTTTCCATAACAATGCATAAAAAAAGCACTTTCCTTTAGGTGGCTGATAGCTTTAGAAGGATCACTTCCCCTTGAATTAACATCCTGGAATATATGTCCCTCTAAATAGTGCAGTGATCCTCAACCTCTCTGTCGATTCTGCCGTCTCAACAGGACACATAAGGTCAGGAATCTTCAAACAAAAGATAACTCTTCCACCTCACATATCCACATGAGTTTATCAAACAGCTCTTATTATTCACATAAATAATATATGCGGATTTGTATTTATAAACTGAGATGCTGTTTATTTACAAATAAAAGGCATTATTTTCCTTCTTTTTTGAAAACCATATAAAATTTTTGTACAATATTTAAACTGTACAACATGGTACTGTCTCATCTTGTTCTCAGACACTGGGAGAAAAAAAGCATATATATGTGTATCTATACAGAATGGACCAGAATTAGCTTTATAACTTCATTTGTATCATTCTGATGGAAAGTTTAAAGATGAAATCTACATCAGTATACACAAAAAGAGACAAAAATTCAATTTTGTTTTGTTAGTGATACCACCAGTCACATAACTAATCAGTCTTCACAAGACTAAATGACTGCACTCTGCAGCTGTGGGCACGGACATTGCTTTTCTGTGAGAAGGGAGGATATTTCTGGTATGTAACTGTTTCTATGATGTAACATAATCATCCTCACGTGGAGTTGGGCTAGAATACCTCCACTGTAACCCTGCCACCTGTCAAAGGCAACACGGTGCCTTGGGATACAATTGAGCCACCCTATTCATGGGGGACATAAACACAGGGATCTGTTCCTCTGGGTTGGGGGGGGGGGCAAGTTGCCTACAATGCATACACAAAAAGCCTGACCCCTCCCCTCCTCAAAGAGAAGGCCCCACTTCTAAAACTTGTCTAGGACATTACAAAAATCTTGGTCATGGATCTCAATGAGACTCGAAGCCAAAAATGATTGGAGAGGGCCAGCAGGAATTTAACTGATTGATCGATACAGTCACACTACTTTATACTGTTCTGTTCATTCCTGGGGACATGATAAAGACAATTAAACTAGCCTGCCTTAGGCTGGATTATCAGAAGCAAGAGATTCTTCTTCTGCACAGCATCATGACTGGTTCTGGGGCCCTCACAGCCACCTCTCCTATGGATATCAGGGGCTTTTTCCCAGGAATAAAGTAACTTTGCATGAAGGTGACACCATCTCCACTCCCTCATACATCTTCTTGGTATGATGTTTAATTAAGCACAGGGAAAACTTTACTTTTTATTCGGGCCATGATTGGTAAACAACAGTGAGTGGCCAATGCAAGCGAACGTCCAGGATGAAATTACTTTCTATGCTGAGTGATCTAAACACTCATTAGAAAAATAAAATGAATAACTGATAACTGTTCTACTGTAAATTTTAAGTGGAGTAGACTCTGACATATAAATTTATGGTTACTAACTTTGGTCCCTCCTGTATATTTACTCCAGCTCAACAGGTTAGCAGTTCTCAAATGTTTATTACCAACTTAGTGTGGTAATTGCTTATAAGCCATCACTAACACACATTCTTTTAGTCAGGGCCTGGGTAATTATCTTTGAGATATATAATCGTAACTGACACAGTGACTGAAAAATTAAAACATAAAATCCCAGGAAAATAAGAATGTACTGATATTGTTACAATGAATGCTATAATTACAAAATATGTGCTACACTGAGCACATTCCTGAATTATTTATAAATAAAGCTGTTAGTTCACTTTCTTTGCAAAACCTTTTGGACTCACAAATTTCTTAGCAAAAAGACAATTCTGTGTATGAAATTCCACTTTGTGGACTTTTTTTCTCTTTTTAGCTGGAAAACAACACAATATAAAAGATCATTTCTATATGATCGTGCTTGTGTTCATGTGCATATTTTGATATGTGTTCTGTTATGGCATGTCTACTATACTGAAGGAATTTTTAATTTAAGTTTCTGGTAAAACAGTTTAGCTTTTAGATACTGTACCTTACACTAACATACTTCTTTCATAAACAGCAACCTTATATTGGCCTACTGTGTGTGCTATACATGATCTGCACACAGAAGAAATCTCAAATACACAACTTATCAACAATCACTGCAAGAAATACCAGTATTTGTACACATGTACTGAAGTATTAGGTAGACAGAAAATGCATTTATAATTAATTAGCAAACAGTTAAAACATAAGGTTTTTAAACTGTAAGAAAAGAGGACTAGAAAAATGTCACAGAAACTTATCAATACTATCTTCTGGACATGTGTCCTGTCATCTGATATGCAGGTAGGTACCAAGGTTTGTGAGGAAGCCAGAGACTGCAGTTTCCTTTAAACTGGTGGTACCTATGTATCAAACTACATGACATCACATTGCAGAAGACCATGCTCTTAATATGTAATGGGCATAAGAATGTGACATTTCATAAAAGCTTTCAAAGGTAACAAATGTAATGAACAGGCTGTTGCCAGGAATGGGTCCCCTAATTATCATATACGGAATGTGGTACTAACTACATGTGAAATTAATCATTTCTGCGCCAAGGAGAAGGCATTAACATTATATGAATAATTTCCATAAACAGTGAATCCCATATATAGGAAGTTTTTACACTGGAATTCCTCTTACTAGCAATCTCATTAAACTGCAGAAAATGAAAATAAGTGAAGGCCACAATTTTTTATCTCTTATTAATACATAGTTTCCAATGCTTTCTAGTGAATGGGCTGACATCATGTTTACTTAACAAAACTTGAATACATTGTGATAAAAATGCTGGTCCCTTGCACTTTATTGTAATCAGAATTCACTATGATTTGCTAGGAACATAACACACAAGGTGACAGATATAAGATGGAACCATATTTTTCAAATTACATCTGTTTTAAAGACCCAGTTACAAGAAATTGATATGCAGTTCAATGAAATACTAACTTGTCTTGAACCCACGATAAACACAGTTAAAAAATAAATAAATAAATAAAGCTCTGACTTTGTACATTGCAAACTGCCACTTTACAGGATATGTTTAGCATTAGAGACAGTTTATCTTTTACCAGTGTTACCGCAATGCGAAATTAAAGTTTCATGAACAACAACAACAACAACAACAATAATAATAATAATAATAAAAAAGATACTGCAGAATCTCCACTACCAAAATTGATTTTCATCTTATTCTTGCCATTCTGTATATCATCTCCAGATCTCAATATGTTACGGTGACTCTTCACCCTTAGTTTCTTAATGCCTCGTATGTGTCTGTATGAAATTCCAGGCCCTCATTTGAGAACTGCTACGTCACACTTGTTATCTATTACCCTTGAGCAATCCTCATTCTCGTATGGAAGCACCTACTGATTACACCTCAGACCACAGGTTATGTATGAAGAGTATTACTGGGTATTTCACTACCAATATGTACATATTAGAATAACACAAAGTGGTTTGATGCTACATCTTAATGCCTCACATTAAGAAGTGTATCTAAATGATGTGAAGCATCAAACTAATATATAACAGAACAAGCAGTCAACTAAGTACAGTCAGCAGCATAAAATAAGTGTGGGGGGGAGTCAAAGGTACTAAAAATAGAAACATTACATTCATATGTCTGTACAAAAATTCAAATCACCTATCACTTTTATTGGGTACCAGAGTTTTCTCACCACATAAAGGGGGATATCAACACAACAGTAACAGGTCTAAAATTAAAACACCCCTCAACTCTTAGAGTTGCACAAATTAAAATATTAAAACAGGTAAAACCCCATGTGATGTTCATTTGTACTGCGGAAGCTAATCTAATGCTTGCCATCATGTAAGATACCTACACCGAAAACAAAATACTGAAAAATGGTGACAGATAATTTGGTTTATTCTTTTAATAAACTTGTAGCAATCATAATAATTAAAAAAGTTGACTGGACCACCGCAACAGCGCTGATCCAATCAGAGCACAATAACAATGTTATCAAAATGTTCATTAAGGCCACTATATAAGATTAGCAAATTCATATGTGTGTGTGTGTGTGTGTGCATATATATACATGTAACATAACAGGTTAAATGGCACGACAACACACACACTCCATGGACATGGACTCCCTGAACTAAGCTGAGAGAGGGAAAGAAGGGTAGACTACGCGCGTCTGCCATACCAGCCATGTGCACATGTTAGGCTACACTTTTCTAGCAAGGTTAGAAAAAAAAAATTAGCACCAAACTGCTCTTGACAACTGAACCAGCCTGCAACTTGCTTGTGAAACATTCAGTAAGATAAGGTTCACTTTTGTCAAGATATTACTGTACATTCTAGCCAGTGTTTGCATTATTTCCTTATTTCCTACAAAAGATGTTCACTATGCACAAGATAAAAAAAAATGACACCTCAAATTGTATCAAGCGAATATTAGAATATACATGATATCCATGATTATTATGATAAAAATCATAGGACTCAATTATCTGATAATGCTTATCAAAAGGCTGAGTGCTACAGTTTTCAGAAGCTATTATAAAAACTATTTTATCAGCAAAAATAAATGGGATTATTCTTTGTTGAGGAAGTTGGACCATACACACTTCTTGACAGAAGCTCTTCCCTTGTGACTCATCCAGAAGGCAATATTGGCACTTGGACTGTTGGATAAAACATACCGCATTAAACAGGCAACCGCTAATGAGACAACACGAATCGGTGATAAGAAACGCCATCATGCACACCCACACGCTCATATACACACACACAGAAACAACTTGAGATGGCATCTTATTAGATCACCACTCCCAGATTCAAATAACTGCATCCCGATGAGAATGCAAATGTCACTCGTATCCTAGGCTAGCGGAATCCCTGATGTGGCTACGAGCCAGCATTGAGCGTTGCGTGATTGTTCACCTGTAAGCTGTTATGTTGCTGCTGTGGAGGTGGAGACTGGTTTATGATGCTGGATGTTGTGCTGACATTGTATGGATGGTTCGAGTTGCACAAAACAGTGTACACATTGTCCACTTTACTCAGCTTTTCAAAGAAAGGGATCAGATCCAGTAATTCTGAGTCAGTCATATCATCAAACCATGAGGCTACAGGCACCTGAAACAGTCACTTCATTTCAGTACACAAAACAATGTCAACATCCATCACATTTGGAAAGTAGTGCTGATGTAGTTCCAACAACAACAGGTATAAGTAACACCACTGCGAAGTGTTTTTCTTGCAACGTTTAAGATTCTTAGCTGATCATGAAATTTCCTGCTTTTATGGAACTCACAGTCCTCAGTGTATTCATGAAAGTCTGCCACTGAACTCTAAACCTTGCCCTGATGGTTGTTCCACTTTCATCCTCTGGGGTATGACAATGTAATGTGGGCCTGAAGACTGAGGCAGCATACTACCAGACTATACTGTGTCATAGCCCACAAGATCACAATCTAAATCTCCTTTCCAAATGCATTCCATGCCATTTTGCATACCTTAAAAGCTTTACTGTTTATTACTGTGATACAATAATAACTGCATTGCTGAAAGGCATAAATTATTTTTTCTTGTTTTCATTAATGTTCACTACAACAAAAATGTTAAAAATAATGGTTGTACTTTATCATGTACCAATTTCTTGATTAAGCTATTTAAATAAGTTAATTTCATCTTCATGCAAAGTTTGAGTTATGTCAGACTTACACAAACCCACACAAAATTCATTAGACAACTTTCAGCAATCTTCAACATCATATTTCATAAGGATTCATTGAGCAGTTTCCAAGAAAAAAATGACACATGAATGGGCAAAGCCTTGCCTACTTGAATTCAAAGACACATTCTTGATTTATTAATACATTTTAAGGAAAATTTCTTTGTATTAAACACATATCAACAAAAATCTAAAAATTTAAATTAAATTTATCTATTCACTGTCTTCTTCCCTTGTGCATCAAGTATCATATTCTGAGTCTACATATCATTCAAACTGCAGCCAAGTTCAAAATTGTCCCATAAGTTAGCATTTTCTATACCATCAAGTGCATTTGTAATGCAGCATTTCCTGAATGACTGTTCCATTGCTTTTCCTGAGATCATCTGTCACACTGCTGAGACCCTTTCTGCATGTTCTGAAGCAGATGCCCCTTTGATCTAACTAGACGACGTTTGTATGTTTTCATACAACAGCCAAGTTGTGTATTCCTTCCTTAAATAATCTTTAAACAGTTTAACTGAAATACTGAGTGGTTAATGCTGCCATGAACCAGAACCAAGTCACAATTCCTCCTCTGAAGTTTAACTTTAAGTTCTTCAGACAAAATTCCATTAAAAGTGGCAAGGACTACAGTAGGATCGTACCTATCAACACCTGAGGCATGGCCAGTGATAATGTACTGGCAAACAGGAAAAATAGTGTGTTGCAAAGTTCAAGCCTGCCACTGTATGCTGCATTTTTCTGAATGTGTATGGGAAAACCCCATGCTACTAGCCCAGCAGTTTATATTTTTGGGCTTTTTAATTTTTCTTGTAATCACTGCTTCCATCACATCCACGCCCTCTAACCCCCGTTATTTCATGAAGGCTTGTTAATACAATAATGACGAATATAACTGTCTGTCTATAAATCTCTGCAGATCAAAGGGTATCCAAGATTTTTTTCTATTTGTATCATCCACTGCTAAGGGATGATTCTGTTTCCTGACATTCCTCTGAGGGTTGCAAAAGTCCTGACATGTTTATACTTGTCTCTCAGCAATCATTCTTACTTTGTTGTTCCATATAATGTTAAAATGTGGCAAAAATATCTAGAAACACTTAAAAAATTTCTCTGCATAGGTCAACAACCCTTTCATAATACTTAAATCCCAATAACATACTTATTTCACTTGGATATTGTTATTCACAAAAATAGTACAATAATGATAATGATTCAGTGACACTTATTATTTGTGGGTTCTGTCTTCTATCACAGTGCTGGCAAGTCTTCAGCAATGTTATTTTGTGCAGCAGAGCTCAGACTATCATACAACGCCATATTTTAATCGACATTCAGTCTGTTCCATTTTCTCCATTTTTATGAATCATGCACAATACGACACTTTCTGAGGACTATATTTACTGTGGCATATGTCATATCTGGGAATTGATGGTGAAAAGGGTTGTTCACATGACGTGAAGAAGTTGTGGCCACCCCCACCACTATTACACCCCTAACCAAGTAAATCTCAAATCCTATGTGACAATTCTGTACCACCAGAAGTGAGGACGATACAACTGTCCAAAACTGAGAGGTCCAATAGGTGGAAATATGCATCCCCCCCCCATTTTCAGGTAAAAGTAAAGCTATCCCTGTAACAGGCCATGAAGGTCCATACGGTTGTGAGACGTTGACGATCCCACATTATCTAGACAATCGGATCAAAGATGGCGGTAAGGCTGTCAGCCTTACGCGCCGGCCATGCTTTACTCCGCATGAAAATTATTTTTATTTAATTCCTGGTACTCATTTCTGTTAGAGGCTGAGTGAACCCCAAGGCCATCCCCAATTTTCAGGTTCAGACGGTAATCATGTAAATGTTGTCACATACTTCATGTGTCTATTACTGTCCTGTGCTATGGATGGTTTCAGCTCATTTCAGTTTTTTCACATACGCTGGAGGATCACACAATCTTCCTATAAACTGGTTTCTTTTGTCTTACACAGTCACATCACTGAAAATGGAATGATTGGGGATGAAGCTGTAGCGACCTATTTCAAGGTAATATCCTTGCACATGGCTCAAGGGGTGGAGGAAAACCACTAAAACTACAGTCAGGTTAATCAGTCTCCTGGCTGAGACTCAAACGAGGCATCTCCTGAACACCAGCCTGAAGCAATATAATTTGATGTTTTATCCTTTGTCTGTTATACTGACAACTGAATACATTGTAGGTAGAGTATGCCACCATTCAGTGTTGTTTCTTACTTACATTACTGTCAGCCCCTTTTCGGGCAAACGCTATGAAACAAACACTACCCAACAAACAACATGACATATCACTCATCTGAAATGGGGTAATTATGACTAGAAAGGCATAAATCTACTATGACAATATGGGTCAGAACATTTTTTTTTAATTCACAGCCATTCATACTGTTATATCGTATGAACTGTAACACATTCACAGCACACATGAAAGCTTTCTAAGTATACAACCTAAGGTCGCAGTATTCAGCAAGTTGTCAAATATAAAATGTTACCAGGTATTCTGTTGCAGTAACCAGCTCAAATATAATGTAAAGAGGAAAGAAAGCATTCACTAGCATACCTGAGGATACAGTTCAAAACAACATATGGAACAGTACCATACAAAACCTGTTTGCGCTAACTTTCCCCATACTTCAAAGAATAAATGATAAGTAAAAAAAGTAAGTAAAGGTATCCCTGGAACATGCTGTGGATGGTACTCATTTCTGTTAGAGGCTGAGTGAACCCCAATTCTAGACAATCTTGTGAGAAGTTGAGGCTCTCATGTTTTCCAGACAGTCGACTCACAGATAGAGGTGAGGTTGTCAGCCTTATGCACTGGCCGCCATTTACCCCCAGGAATATTCCTGGTACTCATTTATGTTAGAGACCGAGTCGACCCCAGGGCCATAGTGCGACTGGAAGGATTAGGTCAACTGACAGAATCCAATGACCTCACTGGGATTCGATACCGCGACCTTCCAGTTTGTAGCAGTGCACCTCAGCCAACTACGCTACCGCAAGAAAAACTGCACATACAACGACTGATTATTTTGAAACTTTCTATACAGGAAAATGGAATCACTCTTAATTATCTAGTCTTCATTTTGTGACCATACCTTAAAATACACATTTAACACAGATTACTTTCTGCACTAAGCACTTCATGGTATTGTAACTAGTAATTTAACCTGGCCATGTGCAAGTACAATTAATTAAATATCTCATAAAATAAAGGTTGAAGAAGCTGACACTTCTATCTCAGGGGTTGGAAATTAAATGATCAATAAGAAATGAATAACATTACAAGAGATGTAAATGTTTAAAAGAAACATGCTACCTCCTTCTTCATGGTCAGTACTGAAGATACAGGCAACATGTTCCTCTGAAACACTGGTATCTAAACGTAACTACAGTGTTGTAACCCAGAAGATCACAATATGAATAACCACTATTGTGAAGGTTTAATATACAAATTCCATGTTCCACATCAGACTCTCTGAAAGACATGCCTTAGCAATAAAAAAGCAGCAAGGCACCCTTCTGGCTCAACTACAGCCTCTGTTATACTTACACCTCTACAGTACATACTCAAAAAAAGCTGTCAAAATGTGACAAATATCCACATAATCAACTGCCTGCCTGCATGGTACCACATGAGGTTTAAGAACAAACAAATTACATATTACATAAAAAGAGTGCAACGGATTGGCTAGATGTAATATTGCAATTCTGTCCTTCGGTATGTGTATACTCACAGCATTGTCTGGATGGAAGATATAGGAAGCAGGCGAGTTGTCTACAATGATAACTTTTTGCAGATCTCGCCCTAGTTTGTTAAGATCCTTCACGTAATTCCCTCTGTGGAATACACATGATTCTCGGAATAAGCGGGATCGGAAGACACCCCATCTATCTAATAGGTCAGCTACTGGATCAGCATACTGTAATGTAAATAACAGTTAGGTGGCTGAGTGATGTCATCAAGTAGATGATCCTATCTGATAATCTGCCTTCAACCAAATTATTTTGTGCACATCACTGCAAAGCAAGTTACTGTAACACTGTGCATTAATTGTTATACCACATGGAAGAAAATCAACATGAATTATTCCTTCAGAATCTCAGAACACATTTGCCAGTTGAGTGCAGTTTACTGAATATTTTGGGCGATGGGACATCCCTTGTGGTGCCATTCCATGCTGCACCACTTCGACTCCAGAATGAAACAGTGCACCCACATCTCATCACAGGTCATTATTCACTCTAGGAAAGTGTTCCCCTCCAATATAAACCAGTGCAGATGTTCCGCAGATACAACTTTTGGCTGAATGTTAACATCACAACTGGGCACACACTTTCTTGAATATGAGTTCATGGATAATTGTTTCAATATTTTCAACACTTATGCCATAGTTGTATGCAACATCATGCACTGTAATTTGCCTGTTTCTCAAAATCAGCTCAACACAGAAAATGTTCACATCATTCACAGCTGCTAGCTGAAAGTGAGCATTCAATACATTCAGGACTTCTATATAATTTTCAGAAACTTTAATGTACCAATCATATATACCTCCACATGACAAGGTCTCCACCCCATACAATGGCATTTGACTAACAAAGAATTTCTGCTGTATTCACTTTCACTAGGAATTTGATGATACAGTGCTGTTCTGTTCTGTTCTTGTAGTAGCTCTAATGTGCAGAGGTGGTGTGCAAGGCCACCTGCCAGGCAGTGAGTGGTGCTGCTACCAATTGCCCATGAAAGAGTTTATTTTTCTGGTGCTCACATCTTCAGGCAAAGATTGAAGTCCAGGTTAACCCTGAACCACCCTCATATATTGCAAACTAGAAGTTCTGGGAAGAACAACTGCCTACTTTCCTTTCACTACATATCGAGCACGTGATTCAAAACAACTGCATCTAACAGTTCTTCTATTGTTGCATGTGTATTCGTTGCCATGGGAATGTGTTTAGTAAAAATGGTGGGGGGATACATAGACATACAGACATTAAGGTGATCAATATGGTGACCATCAAAGCTGATGCTTGTCATGGTGGGAGAAAGTTCAAGGAAAGACACCTTGTTTTGTTGGTATGAAATGCTAACACGACAATCTTTCAAATCTACTAAATAGAAAATGTAATAACTCAGATACTTTAAAACTGTTCAGAGGCTGCTGAATAATATGCAGCAAAAAAAGAGCATGTTATTCAAGACAATATTTATTTCATGGCACTGGACACTAAAGGGGGCTACACACCTTCAGTTTATCTGTGCAGTTCTCTGTCGTAAATAACTGTGTGAAAATCTGTACATTTATCTGAACTGAAGGTGTGTAGGATACCTTCAGTTTTTGCCTCAGTTCAGTCCGATTTTTCTTCAGTTCTCTCTTCACTTTCGACAGGTTTGGTTGTGTTCTAAAATAAATAAAGTTCAATGGGTGACAGAAAAAGAAGAGCTGCAGTTTGTTGCATAATTGCTGCAGTGTTGCTAGAAGAAGAAGGCAAAAGGAAAAAACGTCGTGAACGCTGGTGCAAAGATTGGTATCTGCAAAGAAGCGTTTTGCCCAGTGATTACCATTTACTGAATGAGTTACAAGAAGGAGGGGAAATTAACGATTATAAAAATTACCTAAGGATGGACGAAAATGCATTTCAAATTTTACTGAGCAAAGTTGTTCCCCTCATTGGAAAAAAGGACACAGTCTTGAGAGAAGCAATATCACCGCATGTGAGACTGATTGCGACTCTTTGGTTCCTGGCAACTGGGAGAAGTTTTCAAGATTTGACATTTTCAATGAGAGTATCTCCTCAGGCACTCGGAGAGATAATAATAGAAACATGCGTGGCAATACGGAAAGCACTGCAAAATTTTATTCAGGTTAGCATACTTTAATTATTTGATAAGACCATAGGTGTGACTGAGTAAATATTCATAAAATAGGAGCCATAGTTTATTACCATACTCACTAAATAAAAACGCACATGTAGAAATACAAAATAAAATTTACACATTGAGTAGGTATGTACGTATGTATATAATGTTATTGTAAATTATTGTATTCGTTGTCATCGTACGAGAATCCCTCCAACAGAGTCCTTGCCGTCGTTTGGGGTTCAGAATGTTGAGAGTACGAATTCGAACTCCAACTGGGAGATGGTGATGAAGTGGATAAAGGCCCTGATGGATGAACCAGATAGCTGCCTCTGGTTAAAAGGCCCATTTGCCCATCAAGCAATGTTTCATTGATTACTTTATCAGCAAACATTAGCTGTTGCTGAGTTAATTTCCTTAATTTCACAGCGTATCCCTTTGCCAATATCAAAAACTCATCGTCTTCAGCTTCCAAATACCGCGTGGCCTTTGTAAGGAGATCAGTGATGAAGGGGCCGACTTTCTCTTTCTGCTAGGTTGTGCAAACGAATTGACTGTGGGTGTAGGTCCTGAAGAAGTTGATGGAGAGGATGGGGCAACCTATAACAAAAACATAAATATTTGTTACCTAAATCATTATTAAATTAAATAATTAAATAGTTATTTTAATTTCTGATTTTAGCTTCCTAAAAGTGAAGAAGAGTGGAAACAAGTCGCTCATGATTTCGAAGAAAAATGGCAATTTCCGCACTGCCTTGGTGCAGTTGACGGAAAACACATTCAGATTAAAAAACCTGCGAATTCCGGCTCTCGTTACTTCAACTATAAAGGAACATTCAGCGTTGTATTGATGGCAATAGTTGATGCAAACTACAAAGTTTTGTTGGCTGATGTTGGAACAAATGGAAGAATTTCTGATGGAGGCGTTATTAAAAACACGGCTTTCTACGACAGTCTCAAAAAAGGTGAACTGAATATTCCACTTCCCGAGCACCTTCCAGGAAGTAACAAAACTGCTCCGTATGTCTTTGTTGGGGACGAGGCATTCCAGTTACAAGATAATTTCATGAAACCCTATTCTTTTTCTGTGCTTAATCATGAAAGGCGCATTTTTAACTATCGCCTTTCTAGAGGAAGAAGAATTGTTGAAAATTTTTTTGGAATTTTAGTTTCCAGATTTACAATATTTCAAAAACCCATCAATCTATCGCCAACTAAGGTCAATGCCATAGTTCTAGCGTGTTGTTTGCACAATTTCTTAAGAAGACATTCCAGTAGTTACATCAACAATCAACCGCCTGTTTGTTATCAAAATTCGCTCGACATGGAGTCTCGAACATCCTCAAATAGTGGAAGTCTAATTGGTATGAGAAACGGCAGCAGTTCATGTTCCTCTAGCTCAGCCAAAGAAATTCGCGACACTTTCTGTAGTTACTTTAACGATGAAGGAAAAGTCGAGTGGCAAGAAAATAGCGTTTGAATATTGAATATAAATATTCACGAATTTGGTTTGATATATACAAAAATAATACTGTTATTATAATATAATAATATGTAATAATAATAATAATAATAATAAATAACTATTGCACGTTTACTTACCGATTTTTCATTGATGTCATTGCCCAGTTCATTGGTTGAAATACTGTCATCAGGAGTTTCCTGGTCCACCAGAAACATCAGTTCCCCGAAATACCACAGACTCGGAACATACACATCATTAGCTGAAGCTCCCGATTTCTTTGATTCGTTTACTTTCTTCAACTCCTTACGAAAAACGGATCTTAGGTTATTTATTTTCTTCACTACACTATCACGTGTTGCATTGGGCTCGAGAGGTTTCAGTTTTTCAATTAAAATATCGTAGGCTGCCGCTTTCTTAACACGGTTGGAATAAGATACGCATGCGGTATCCCAAAGCTCGGGAAGGGACCGGTAGCCGTCGATAAATGCCAAAAGCGAATCCTTTTTTGAGACCGTAGTCATCGTATAGGTTCAGAAACAGGACGGCAACTGAACAAACTGTACGATAAACTGCATAAACTGCGCAGGTTATCTTTGCAAATGAGGGTCCGAATGCGCAGACTTTTTATCTGCGTGAAAATCGGTCTAAACTGCGCAGTTGACACAGTTTATCGCTCAGACATGACGTCACACGTGATAAACTGCACAGCTAAACTGAAGGTGTGTAGCCCCCTTAAGACAGTTGCAAA